CCGTATGAGGGGCGGGGACCCCTCCTGGGGACCCCCGCGTGAGGTGGGACCCCTCCCTGTGCCTCGTTCTATGGGGAAGGGACCCCCCCTCCATCCCTCCTGTGGGCCTGGGACCCCTCTCTGTGCACCCCTCTGTGGGGCAGGGTCCCTCTTCGAGCAGGACCCTCCCTCTGTGCCATGTTCTGTGGGGAAGGGACCCTCTTACAGCCCCTCTGTTGGGTGGGACTTTCCCCGATGCCTTGTTCTGTGTGAAAGGGACCTTTTTTCCAGCCCTTCTGTGCGGTGGGACCTCTCGCCGTGCCTTGTTCTGTGGAGAAGTGTCTCTCCTCCATCCCCTCGTTGGGCTGTACCCTCTCTCCGTGCCTTGTTCTGTGGGGAGGGGTCCCTCCTCCATCCACTGTTTGGGCAGGACCCTCTCTGTGTGCCTTGTTTTGTGTGACAGGGTCTGTGCTCCAGCTCGCTGTGGGGCAGGACCCTCTCCCTGTGCCTTGTTCTATGGGACAGGGCTTCCCCTCCATCCGCACTGTGGGGCAGGGATTTCCCCCTCCTCAGCAGCTCCCATGGAGGACAGGGTCCTTCCCTCTCTGCTCCACAGTCCCTTTTGGGGCAGGGACCTCCACAAGGCAATGGAGCAACCGCCATGACCCTGCAGACCCCTAAAGGGACACCCTCGGGGTGTCTGGGCTGYGCTTTTGCCGTGTCTGGCAGCACTATAGGGTGCTGTAAGGTCCCGTTTGTGGGGCAGAGGTGACAGCCCAGAGCAGGGGACAGCAGAGGCTGGAGCGTGGACTGGGACTGCATCACCCCGGAGGGATGGAGGAGGGGGCTGGGGCGGCACAAAGGGACAGGGGAGATGTCCCCAACCAGCGCCCATCCTGCCTGGACCCCCTGGATGAGGGGGAGCTCCTGGGGGTACCACCCCATGCTCGACTCGGGGTCCCCAGGTCACCTCTGTTCCTGGTAGTCGCTGGCTTGGAATCAGACACGTCCCTTTGCTTTCGCTGAGGCCAAGACAGGACGCTGCGGGTTTCTTCTCCTTAAAAAAAAAAAACCTAAAAAAAAAAGCAAAAAAGACCCAGAAATGGCAAAAGCTGCTTTTTTGGAATTACACTGGGCTGCTGTTCCTGCCGTGCCAGCACGTCCGTACCGTCCCTGCATCCGCCGCTTTGGCAGGGGACGTGCGTGGGACTCTGGGGATTGGAAACCAACGGGTAAAAATGCACCTCCTGCGGTTTTGGGTTTTGGTTTTTTGTTTGTTTAGTTCAGCCTGCCTTTGTCTTCGCCGGGGGTGCACGGAGGACGACACGCGTAGGTCTTGGTCACCCCACGAGCGGCGCCGGCTCCCTCGGATGTGCCAGCTTGTGTGTCTGGGGGTTGCTTCCCCCCTCCCGTGCACACCTTTGGCAGGAGGTTTGGATGACATCTTGCTCTGGCACGCTCCTCGCCTTTGATCTCGAGTTTCCTGCCATGGATAACGTGTTCGGCAACACGCGAGCCCGGCTCCGCAGCTGCCGGGGAGGGCCATGCGGGTGCCTCCTCCTCGTCCCGGTTTTCCCCAGCTGGCTCCTGCCTACAGCTCCCGGCTTTCCTTTGTTTCGGGCGCCGCCGGGACGGGCTCTCACAGCCCAGGGATGCTCTGAACGGAGCMGAGCTAAGCACAAAAAGACACCCCCTCCCATCCCTTTGTTTCCAGGCGTTTGCGGGCTCAGCTGGTTTTACGCGGCGTTTCGTGTGCTCATTTCGGGGGCAGATAAACCGTCTACTCAATGTCTCTTTTTTTATCCTGAGTTATTTTGGGTGATTCAGTTTGCAGGGAGCACACCCGGCTGCAGGCTGTGCCGGAGGGATGCGGCAGCTTCCTGGGAACGGGGTGAATTTGCCAGAAGCATAACTGGAACATCTCGTGGTTGTCCTCTGGTGTCCTCCTCGCATCTCCTCGGGTGAGCTGAGCCATAAGCTCTCAGCACCMCGCTAAAATCCGGGATCACCAGCCCTTCTCTTGGGACAACTCTGACCCTGGTTTGCATGACCCRTTGCCAGCAGCAGTTTTGGGGACAGGGGAAGGTGAACAAAACCCAGGCTCATGCTCAGCACTGATGGCTGAAATCAGCCTTTTTTTTTTTTTTTTAATATCCTTGACCTTATAGAAATCAAAATATAAGTTCTAATATTCTTATAATTATTTTTTAGACTCCCTACTGCTGTTTTATTTCCCTCAGGTGTTGGGTTTAATAGTGAAACCATCACCTGAATTTATGTGAATGCTATATTTTTCGCAACAGATGTACACAAAGCACCTTGAGCGTGTCAAACAGCCCCTGAGTAAATCGGGTTGTTTGCTCTATTACTTTATTCATACAGGTTCGATGCTCCAGCTGATGCATCTGGAGTGCTGTGCCATCTGGAGCAAAAATTAAATACAAATTTGGCCCCTGGCCTGGAAAAATAACAACCCTGTGCCCCACTTATAATCGGCAGTGAAAGGATAGAGCCCCTGACAGAAGAATTGCTTGGAGGCAATGTGGAAGGAACCCAAAATGCACTAATTGAGGTATTTAAAACGTATTGAAAAAGGGAAAATAAATGCTTCCAGTCCCATGTGCTGGAAGCAGGCGGAAGGGATGATGTGATCCTGTTATCAAGTCATAGGGCTGATGCCAGCAGGTCATGGCCCTGGTCCTGACTGGTTGGTGGTGATCTCCCATATCTCCCATATCTCCCAGTTTTCTATGAAATAAATCCCCTCCACAGCTTCCCAAAGCTCTGCTCCATCACTACTCAGCTCAGGTTTGCTAATTTTGTCCCRTTCACCAAGGATGGGTGCGATACTCCAGGTCTGCTGCTTGGTCACTGGCATTGCTGTTTGGTCAAAGGCTGTGTCAGATTTGGGAGGAGCAAGATGTGGAGGAGGGTCAACACTTACTGCTTGTGCATCCCAGGCGAAGATCCAGTCACCTCCAGGTTTGATTGGAGATAACTCTGATGGACTAGATGTGAAGGACACCTTGGGGTCAGCGTGCTCTGAATGTTGTGGGATCTGTCACACTTTCAGATGAGGAATACTGTGTGCCAGATGGGAAATAACATGATGGCTGCTGGTTGCTTCCACTGTTCTTGGCTGGAGAGTGGTCCTGGCACTGTCCTGGGGGAGAGGCAGGTGATRGGGTGGAGGAGGAGGTGGATTCCATGGTGAGGAAGCAGCAGAGCTGCTCAGGATTGTGGARCTGAACCAAGCTTGTAGGTTCTACCAACTTCCAGCTGCTCTCCTGAACAAAATGATGTGTGAGATGACAAGGAGGACACCCTGCTTTGCTAGGAGGGCTTTTGTGCTTCTGGACCATCTCTCCAGATGTTCTCCCTTGGGTCACCCCTCCCAGTGACCTGCTGTCACCTCCACTTGGGCTGTGTGGCAGAAGGTGTGTTGTGAGTGATTCTCTCGCAGCCATAAAGCGATACCTGGATGTAGAAAAGGTGGAAAGAGGCACAGCTGGTGCTCATCTCCTATTCCCACCACCTGCACCAGGAACCTTCTGCCTTGGGATGACACAGGTGAGACATGGTCCTCTCCCACTTTGCCAGACTCCTGCTGCACAGTAAACCCAAACAAGCCCATCCTTYGGGCCGTGGCAGGAGGTGCAGATCYTTTTGGTGGTCCTCAKCCAGCCTGGACCATTGATGTGGRAGCCTGGAGGCTGKTTTTTTGGGGTTGATGCTTCCYTGGTCTCAGCAGTGTTTGATGTGGCTGAGCTGGGTTTGTTTGTTTTTGTTCCTGCAATCATTCCCCTTAAAGCCGAGTGTTGTTGACAGAAGATAAGATCGGCGGACACAGCCRTCCCCTCCCCTGTCACTGTTGTGCTGGAACTGCTCAGACTCAGGTCGGGAGTGGCTGTCCTGGTGTTCAGTGTCCCTACCCCGAGTCGCTGACAGGGCTCTAAAGCAGCATCAGTGATGATGTGATATGGGGCTTATCTGCAAGTGAGCCCAGTCATCGCCTGAGCCCGGCGGGTGCCACTCACTGCGTTGAGAAATGCCAGTGATCCCATAGAAAACTCGCTCCAGGAGAGGATCCAAACCCACGTGGTTTTGTACAGCCATAGGCAGTGGTGATTTGCTTCCTGATCTGAGGGATGGGAAAGCCTTGACATTGACAGTGGGCTGGAGCAGCRCCTGTTCCTCCATCCCAGGGTGCAGCAGTAACGACTGGAGACGGAGCTGCATCATTTTTGGATGCTGTTCCCTCTGGAACAACACAGGCAATGTGTCATTTTTCTACCTGTCTGACATGTTTAAATTCCATCAAAGAATGAAAACAAACCTAAAGGGTTCCAGCCACATGTAGAGGGCTCCTGTGTCCTGCTGATGAACAGATGTGGTGCTGAGGGATGGCGAGGGGAGACGAGCCTGGCACCAATGCCATGGACCAGATTACCTGGAAGCAGCTGGCTCAGTATAGCCAAAGGCTKTGAGGTCTCAGGTTGCTCTGATGCTGGAGCTACAGCTGGGATCAGCCTGTGGAAAGAGCAGGTGAGGTGCACAGAAGAAGGAGGAGCAGTGAGGGCAAGGGCAGGAAGCCTGGGCAGGGAAGTCCTGCTCTTTCTGCTCCACCTTCAGAAGTGTGAGAAGCAAGTAGGAATTGCTTCTTCTCCAGGTTTATTTTGTTTTTGTTATTATGGGTGGGTTTGCAGGACACCAGGACTGCTGACAACAGCTGAGGTAGTCCTGGCTTCAAGGGGGAAAAGGATCTTCACATGGGATAATCCTGGGGTCCACCTCAATGTTTAGGGACAATGTGCTAGCCACATCCTTCAGTCTGTGGTGTCCATGGAAGCAGGAGATGGAGATCCATGTGGCAGCACAGCCATAASSGTTATTGATGTGTTGGAAACCATGRAAKCCCCTGAGAATGGTCACATAGGAGCTGGGACTTCTCCAAAAATGCGGTGGGATTGATAACCCAACAGAAATGCATCTGCACCAATGCCCACAGCTTGGGCACTGACAGGAGAAGGAGCTGGAAGGCRCTGTGCATCAGGAAAGCTGTGACATCACTGCCAGCACAAAGGCATGTGAGATGACTCAAACAAATGGATTGCTGCAAGAGATGGGGATAACTTTCCATCATTTACCAGCAGCCCTGGCCAGCTGGGAGGTCCTGGCTGACTGGAAGTGAGCAGATGTGACACACAGCTACAAGAAGGGCAGGAAGGAGGATTTGAGGAACTACAGGGCTGTCAGTCTGGTGACAGGAGCAGATCACCCTGASTGCCCTCACGCAGCGTGACCAAGGCAATCAGAGGATCTGGAGCAGCCAGTGTGAGTTTGTGACACGCAGGTCCTGCCTGACCAACTTGATCTTCTATGACAAGGTGACCTGCTTTGATGGATGAGGGAGAGGCTGTGGGTGTGTCTGTTTGGACTTTGGCAAGGCCTTTGACAGCACCTTTTCGTGGAAGGGGCTGGAGTGACCATCCCTGGAGAGATTTAAAAGCCCTGTAGAAGTGGCACTTGGGGACAGAGTTTAGTGGAGGCCTTGGCCGTGCTGGGTTAGCAGTTGGACTTGGTGGCCTTAGAGGGCTTTTCCAACCKAAACGATTTCATGATTCTGTGATTTTATTATCCCCTCAGAGGATTAATCCYGCCGCTAATGCAGCTTTTCACTCGCAAAGCGCTTTAGAGGAAGTCGCGCCAGGAGAGCGCTTGGAGAGAGAAACTGAAAGTGCTGAGCAGGAGGCAGCTGCCCTCCTGATTCCAGCCCTCCCACTGTCGCTCTCYCAGCCTGTGGAGTAGGAGTGGGTTTCCCAGCTTCTTGGCTGACGGGAGGATTTTGGGGAAAATAGAAGAGCTCCGTAGCAGCGCGGCTTCCCAGGCGTGAAACCAGGGGGTTTCAGCTCCCCATTGGTCCATTGAAATCCAGGAGGAGCAGCCCGGCAGGTAAGAAAGCGGGAAARCCAAATTATCCATCAGAACTGGGTAGGAGGGATCCAAATCTCCCACTCGACAGCTTCCAGCTACAACAAACCCACCCGAGTGGATGGTTCCTCCCGCGACCGTTCCTCCCGCGACCGGGGCTCTCAGGACTTGAGTTTGCCCTCATTTCAAAGGATTTGGGACATTGTAAAGATCGAGTTAAACTTCTCTGCACGCAGAGCTTTGTCCTGAGCAGAGCAGGCAAATATTTCCTCAGTGCTTTGACGACTCCCATTTTCCTATTGTTCCCTATAAAAACCYGTCGCTAGGCTGGGCTTCCCCCGAGGCGATTTCCTGGCTCTGCTCAAATGCAGCTGCGGGGTTGGGGTTTTTCTTTCGATTTTAGTTGAGAAGCATCGTTGGATGACGACTTGGCATTTTGCTCTCTTGGCCTGTGAGATAAAAGATAAGGCTTTTGGAGGCTGTGGAGGTGGTGGCCATCGGAAGTGGGACAGGATTGTGTGGYGATGGGTGTTTTGGGGGCTGAATACATTGGGATGAGCTGGCTGGAGCCTGTCTGCTGGTGGGTTGTGTGGGTTGGGTGTCTGACAGCTGAGCCTTGCACCCCAGTCTCGCTTGGCGTTCACACCAAAACACCCTCACCATTGTGCTGARCGTTGTTTGGGGTTGACACTTTGGGAGTAAAAGCAGAAAAAAATTGATAATTTTCTTGGTTGTGGCTTTACCCGGGGGATGCTGAGTTGTTGGGTGCTTCTGACCATCCTTGGGGCTTCCTCCTTGTATCCTCCTCCTGAAGAATCTTCCCCCTGCAGCTGCCAGTGATGCAGCAGGAGGAACTGGTCAAGGAGGTGATGGGAAAGGCCTGGGCTGTGTTGCAGCCCAGTGAAAGGGATGGAACTGGAGACAAGCCTGGCATCAGGTGGTTTATTCCAGCCTTGCATGCTAAAAGTGGGAGTGGGAGTGTTGCAGGGAGTTAGGAAATGGGCACAGTGGGTGTTTTCCCAAAGTCAAG